ATGGCCTTATTCTCAGTGTTAGCAATGGGATTTAATCATGCTTAATTTGACGGAATCATACCATCATTATCACCATTAAAATACTATAGAGCTTGATTACCGATTCATGTTATCTCCTAAAATAGAGTCTCTAATACTCTATAAAAAGTTATTCTAGTTCTGCAGTGATAGAAGTACATTTATAACAGTTTAAGATTTTTCTCTAAAATGGAAACACCTTGTTTCTGGATTTTCTGTTCTTCACTATGTGACATTTCAAAAGATGCTGTGTTCATCTGTGCTTCTATTTCTGTTATGGCACAGTCCTGGAGCACTAAACTTGATTATGAAATCAATACTTGTAATGATATAAGAGACAGCCTTAATATTTCAGCTGTAAGGTGAGTACAAAATTGAGTTTGTACATGCAATTTTGTATGCCTATAAATTAGGCTAACTTTTTAAAAACTGATTTCAAACAGATGACAAATCAGTTTAGAACTATTGGAAAAATATTAAGTGTTTGGAAGAATCAAGTTCATGTATCCTTAGGTATGACCAATCATATGCAACTCACTATACAGATGTTATAGCCTGCCAAGAGCTTGACAATTCAAGTTGTTTTTCAGTCTCATATATGAAATTTAAAAATGGCATGGTTAAGCAAATTGTTGATAGGTTGTGTTAGTCATATAAATCATAAACTATACAAATTAGATTTTAGTTCATACTTGAATACAGCCTTCAGTTAAACATAGCTTTTATCTTCTCATTTAAATTAGTAGATGTTGAGTAGCATGTTGTCCCCTTCCTATTTCTTAATATTTATTTTTAGGACTCTAGCTATAATGCAGGTACAACTTGCATTGAAAATTATTTTTATTAGGCTGGGCATGTAGTAAGAAATGCATTTTGAATATGGAACAGAATACCTTCACTCAAAATGTTATGTTGGAACACTCACATTGGCTCCACTCTGTTGGGAAAAAACCCTCAAAAGCGCAAGTGTTTTGTTTAATTCAAAACAAAACTTTTGGAAGTTACACAATTAGGTGTGAGATTGGAACACTCAAAATGGCCCATTTGAGTAGTCAGAATATTCCTTCAGCATTGTTCTTTTATAACTGGAATGTGATGAACTGTTGGCCTGATATAGGGACATTTTTTTCCACAATGCAATATAATTTTAATAAAGTTTCAATTGGTTTTGATTTTAGAGATGACACAATCCCATGGTGAAGATTTCCTGAATAATCCCCACTGAAATGAAAAATTTCCAATCCAATTGTGCTCTTTATGATACTTTCACTGTTCATTTCAGGCAGACCTAGGTAGGAAAGCATTTCAGTATATAGCACAAGATGTCATATATCATCAGTGCTCTCATTCAGAATCTATCTATACAACCCTTACCTGTAACTAGGAAGCTTATTTCTTCCACTTCTTGATGTAAGCAATTGCTGCTCGCAGCTAGAAATTGATAAAATATTGCTCCTTGGTTCGATGCATGAGATAATATTGCTTAGACATTTTATAGCTTCAGGAATGAGCCACTGAACATGTATAACTTTGACAACTTAAGTTTGTGAAAACAGTTTGCAGTTGGGAAATGAGAAACTAAGGAAACCCAAAATTAATAGCACCATCAGATGGGGCCTCTTCTGTCAGGATTCTGCTATACCAAGGGTGTCAAACTCTCAATGTCATATGACGTGTCGCGACGTATCATGACTTTTTTGCCATTGCCAGCAATGGGGTGGGCATGGTTTTGCTATGATGCATCTGGCCCTGCTCTATATCAAGAGTGGGCACCTAAGGCAACTTCATGACCTGTGGACTTCAATTCCCAGAATTCCATGCTGGCTCAGGAATTTTGGGAATCGAAGTCCACAGGTCATAAAGTTGCCATAGTTGCTCACACCTGCCCTATACAGAATGGGCCCACACTCTCGGTGAATTCTTGGATTTACAGCTTTGTTGGAAAAGCAGATGGAGGATGGACCATGCTCAATTGGGCTTTTGCACAGCTTCATTTTGCGGCCTTTCTTACGACAGGAGCCTTTAATGACACTCGCTCATGCTCTTGTCAACTGACATCTTGACTATTGCTATGGGCTCTAGATGGGTCTGTCCTTGAAGACCGCTGGTTCAAAATGCAGTGACGTGGGTAAAATTGGCTCTGTTCAATTTGCCCATATAACATGCTTACCTCAGAATTTGCTTAGTTACTTGTAGGCTTCTGGATGCAACTCAAACTGTTTGTTTTTACTTTTACAACCATTTACTAAAGACCCCTTCTGTGGAGAGATCTCTGAAGGGATGCTGTCATTAAAGACCTTGAAGATGAGTCTTCTTAGTTGTTACACTGACCCTCAAGCTTTGAAACAGTTTACTCTTGCATGTAAGGACAGCTGTTAGTGTTGGGAGACAATAATAAAGATAGGTTCTTCTATTGGCTCTTTGAAGAGGGAATAAAGCTGTGATCAATACTCCTGAAATGGAAAAGGCAGCAAGATGATTGATGAGTTTGACGATTGTAAGGATTAGTATGTTTATTGATTGTTATTTTGTGTGTTTTAACCTTATTTGCTGTAAGAAATTGTAACCTTAATGTCTGGTCAACTAGAATGGTGGAGAAGCCTGCATAAATAAATAAAATTAGTTGTGCAGGTTCTCATCACATACACATATGCACATACACAAAACACAAAATATTTTCAATATACAAGTGCCTTGATGAGACACGCTATCTGCTGATTCTCTCCTGAGTACACATTGCAACATTGATCAAATGTTACTGGTTGTCTGTGTCAGTATTGTCTTGACCCGTCAGTCTACTGCTTTACAAATAGACAAGGAAAAAAAGTTATTAAAACAAAGTGTTCTTGAGGTTTATAATGATCACCTTTGTAAGTCAAGACAATTGTTCAAGTCTTGCTATATATTCTGAGTATATATATATAAGAACTGACATTCTTACTGACATTCAGGCACTGAATCTGATCTGAAATGAAATGAACAGCTTTATTTAATATATAATTCAAGAGATTATGTCTGAATTCTGCAGCAATGAAATAATGCAATAGTGAGTTATAAGAATTTACAAGTAAGATGATCTATTTGATTGAAATTGTGGATTAAAAAAAAAATCTGAAGTACTATTGCCTCCCAGTATAGTTATCCATAAAGTTTTGAGAAGTTAATTTATCAAAGTGTTATTTTACAGAATAAAACTTTTAAATATTTGTCATATCTTTTTTTATTTTGTTTGGCTCAGGAATTCTGGGAGTTGAAGTCCACAAGTCATAAAAGAGCCAAGGTTGCCTACCCCTGCCCTATAGTTTTCTTTGAGAGATTTTTCAGAAATGGCTTGCCACTGCCTCCCTCCTAAGACTGAGAGAAAGTGACTGGCCCAGGTCACCCAGCTGGTTTTGTGCCTAAGGCAGGATTAGAATTCACTCTCTCCTGGTTTCTAGCCTGATGCTTTAACTACTACATCAAACTGTCATATTTGTAATAATAACTCATGCAATCAATAATCAGATATTTTCAATACAAAATAATAACCCTATATCCTAAAAACATAAATTTGTTCTTTGGGTAAGTGAAATTTGGGTTTCCCTTGATAATTGAACTTCGCAGTACTTTTCTTTTTTAATAGGTTAATAAATATTATTGTAAAAATACATAATCTTGGAGGGTTGATTTAGTTGATATGCAAGAAAATGTATGGGGCTGCAATGTCCTTGCTGGTTTCACTCTGATTCCATCTCACTTCCCTTTGCATTTATGTGATTTGATTTGATTTTGTTTTCTTCCAACACTAGCCTTTGTATGTTTCTTGTGATTAAGTTTCTAACAAAAATGGTATAAATCATTATTTTAAGGCTCTCCTCTGAGAGTCTCTTTCAAAGAGGAGAATCTCACCTCCTCTGAGATCTGTTTGGAAAACAGAACCAAAGCTATGGTTATTTAAAAATAAAATAACTCTGAAGAAGTAATATTGCACTGATTATGCAAGAAATAATTTTCCTATATAAATATTGGCAAGAAGATCCTATCAAAGAAGCCGAAGAAGTTAAAAATCAAGAAAACAAACTAGGGGGAAAAAAAAGAAAAAAAGAACAGAACAGAAAAAAAACCTAAACCATGGGCAACTTTCAGGAGAGGCAAAATAGAAGCTATCTTCAAATTATTGATTCAGTTACACTTACTAAAGTTTAGCCTCTCAATCTGCTCTCATTATAGCAATAGTACTCAGACTTATATACTACTTCGCAGTGCTTTACAGCCTTCTCTATGTGGTTTACAGAGTCAGCCTATTGGCCCCAACAATCTGGGTTCTCATTTTACCGACCTCAGAATGTTGGAAGGCTGAGGTAACCTTGAGTCGGTCAGAACCGAAGGACTCAAACTCCTGGCAATGTGAGCAGAGTTAACCTGCAATACTGCATTCTCACCACTGTGCCACCATGGTATAATGTTCTTTAAAAAAAAATGACAATTTAATATGGCAAAGATATTTTTAAAACGTAAAAGATTAAGGCTACCTTTATATTCTGTTTTCATGAAGTTAGCAGTCATAGTTAGGGTTTTAAATGTCAAAGAACAGGCTGGCTTGAGTTCATATTAACTTTTTAGCATCATGGATCACAAACTATTACACAATCTAAATTAGACATCTTAAATAGAAACAAACAGCAGAAACATTTGGGAGCTGGCTTAGGTTTGTGAACAAAACAATTTTTTTTTAGTTTTGTGGATTATTAAGTAGAATGTTAGAGAATCTGAATATTCTCCTGTATAAAACGAACATCAATATACACTGAAAATATTTTAACATCATTGTTGTTAGTTGTGAAGTCATGTCCGACCGTCACGACCCCATGGACAACATTCCTCCAGGCCTTCCTGTCCTCTACCATCTTCTGGAGTCCATTTAAGCTCACGCCTACTGCTTCAGTGATTCCATCCAGCCACCTCATTCTCTGTCGTCCCCTTCTTCTATTAGCCCTCAATCTTTCCCAGCATTAGGCTCTTCTCCAGTGAGTCCTTCCTTCTTATTAGGTGGACAAAGTACTTGAGTTTCAACTTCAGGATCTGGCCTTCTAAAGAGCAGTCAGGGTTGATCTCCTCTAGAACTGAGCGTTTTGATTGCCTTGCAGGCCATTAAAATCATTATGTACCCTTAAAAAACAAACATAAAAATAATTAAATGATTTGAGCGGGGTTTTCTGTTGAATACATGCTCAAAGGTGTCCTTTGTATTTATTCAGAAGTCTGCACTGCTGATTTCAGGAGGACATCTTTAGAACAGTGGCCACAGTTCAGCTGAGATTTAACTCATTTTAATGAGCAGTTCAATGCATGGTTTCTCATAAAGACATCTCACTATTTTCAGGGAGCTTAGCCCAAAGGAAATGTAGATGTTTACGGAGCTGAAGCAATACCTTAATCTAAATAAATGGACCCAAGTAGGTTTAACTATGCATCAAGTCAGAGTTAATATATTTCCAACTACATTTTCAAATTCTCTAAGCAATTCTTAGGGTGGCCAACTGTTCAAAGCAATAAAGTTTACAAACACTCACATTTTAGTAATTTTTTGGCATGATTAAAGATTACAGTAACTTTTCCTGATGTATTTTGTTCTAATATGGCTGGTGGATAACGAAAACAGCATTATTGGAAAATCTTCATCTTTCCAAAAATCATTCTGAATCTAAGCCAATATTTTTTGAAGAAATCATAATTTGAATTACTGAAGACTTTGAAAATAAGTATAGGCCTGAATAATTGAAACCTTTAACTCATTTTCCACAGCTAGACAAATACTAGCACTTAAGCTTCATGGATTCAGTGAAATGAAAAAGTGAACATGTAGTGTTCTAACTAGGCAACTGAGTGAACATTTCCTTTAAAAATGAGCACTGGCTGTTTTTCAGGTTAAAATACCTAACATAAAATGCAAGCAAGCATAGAAGTGAGGTGAATTTTCTTTCTGGGGCTATTTTATAGTGAGACATGCAAGAAGATCCAACAGCTTCAAAATGCCAGAGGCTTATTTGACATTCAGGATGATTTTCTGGCACTGTGGTGGAAATGGCAACAATTAGAGAGATCCAACAGTCATTTTATTATTTTCAAAGTTGGCAAGCTACAGGCAGTAATGGTCACGTGCCCTTAGGAAAGCCACAAGCAAGGCCCCATGGTTACCAAGATCTTAAGTAGGTAACCTTCTCAGGAAAAGACCAGTCGGGTATCTGCATTTAGCAAAGGAAGTGCAAAGGAAGGAATCAGCTTTTTACAGTTGGGAAAAGAAATAATGAGCAAGGAGACAGGAGATCACTCATAAGAGGAGACTTGTCAATCTTTTGAAGTGCAGTCCTGGTGTCTGGTTATATGAGAATGCCAAACTCTTAACTGTGATTTCAACAGGCTGACCTCTGCATACAGATGTGGAAGGAAATGATAAAAGTGCTTTGAATCAGCATCTGTGAGAATATGAAGAAGTACATCAAAGAATAACAACAGACAGGTTACAGTAATTAAATCTTTCGAGTAGCCTGGAGCCTATAAGCATTTCTAGTTTAAAACATTTTTACCACATTCAACATTTTTTGCACAGTACCATCCTCCCTTCTCTCCCCCACGAATGATCTCTTGATAACATTACTGGTATCCTCAACACAGAGCCTGGAATCCCAGGGTGCCCGCAAACCTATTTCTGCATATAATGTCTTTTATGAGCCTGTCTTATTATTTTAAAACACATTTTAAGTTAAAAGTGGGCATGGTGCACCAAAGCATCAAGTGATCTGTATCTCTGGCACACAAGGATCTTGTAAGCGTTCTTATAAACTGAAAGTAACTGATGGCTTCAGCTTAGTGGTTGTTACAAAAAAACCCCAAACCCTGCCCAAGCTAAGCTAAGCAGCAGTGGAAGGAACCGTGGCAATGCAATGGTTAGAATGCAGTATTTTAACCCTGCTCACTGCTCACTGCCAGGAGTTTGATTCTGACCGGCTCAAGGTTGACCCAGTCTTCCAACCTTCTGAGGTCGGTAAAATGAAGACCCAGATTGTTGGGGGCAATATGCTGACTCTGTACAATAAAACACGCTTAAAGAGGGCTGTAAAGTCTAAGTGCTAGTGCTAGTCTTGTGGTGAAGGGAACCAGGGATGGACAGGCAGCATTCCAATAAATACCTACTGTGTTTCCCCGAAAATAAGACTAATTTTTTTACCTCCAAAAGAGGCACCAGATCTTATTTTGGGGGGATGTCTTATCCCCTGTCTCACCTTGCAGCGGTGGCACCAACAGCCCTGTACAGCCATCCCACTTCTTCTACCATCACTTGCCACCACTCGCCCACATTGCCTCCAGCCTCCATTTCGCCGTCAGAGGCCTTCAGGAAAGACCTCTGCAACTGAGAATGGAGCTCCGGATTGATGTGCATAGTACACCCCCCCAGCCTGCATTTTGGCATCAGAGGCCTTCAGGAAAGGCTTCTGCAGCCAAGAACTGAGCTCTGGATTGATGCATATGGCACCCCGAGGAGGCCCCCTTGGTTTCTTAAAATTGTGAAGCCCAAAGCTGTATTTTGTTTAGCTTATGCCAAAACACAACTCTTTAAAGGATTATTTATTTATTTGTTTGTTTGTTTGTTTATGTGTTTGTTTGTTTGTTTATTTATTTATTTTGTTTACTGCAAGGCTTACAACATAAACTCTGGGTGGCTTACAACATCACTGCAGGACACTTTGTAACTGTGTGTCTTTGATGGCTATATTCTAGTCCACCTAGATATGTTTTACATATCTCAAAATTCCAAAGCCCATAAAATTTGAGGACTCCTTTTTAGCAAATCAATTCCATCCAGGTGAAAGTGTATAAATAGGAGTGTGGCTTAAATTTCAAACTATTTTGTCCTTTTCCTTTGTAGTCAATAGGTAGGCTTGATTTATTAATCTTTCTCCTATTATTAATTATAGTGCTGACTCTAAAAGAAGATTTTTAAAAAATCCTGGAAAATATTTAAAGAGTATATATGAATATGTACATCCATGTGGGTGTATGTGCTGCATATATACCATGTTTCCTCGAAAATAAGGCCTATCCCGAAAATAAGCCCTAGCTTGATTTTTATGTGTGCACCTAATATAAACTTTACCTCAAAATTAAGCCCTAGTTAAGACCCTACCCACTCCATCCCACTGTCTGGTTGTACAAGGTGAAGCGAGATGTACATATAAAAATCAAGCTACAGTGGGGGTGGGAGGTGGAGCTACCCCATGTGCCCTGGCACCCGCTTACCTCAGGACCATTACAGCTAGGCCTCTCATGCCCCAACACCTATTATGCCGCTGTCTGACTTCTTCTGTGCCCACTTGAGGCAGGACACCACATGGCGTGTTGCGCCAATGCCACCACTCAGTACTGGACGCTACGTGGCATGTTGCACTGATGCCCCCACTCGAGGCAGGATGCCACGCGGCACATCATGCTGGTGACCTGCCATGAGCAGTCATGAGCGGCCACAAAAAAAGTCAGGTGGCGGTACGGCAGGTGTTGGGGCATGGGAGGCCTGGCTGCGGCGGTCCTGAGGGAAGCGGGTAAAACATCCCCTGTTTCTTTGCTTCTTTTGGAGGCAAAAAATATAAGACAGGGTCTTATTTTTGTGGAAACATGGTAACTGTATTCTATAGTTCCACCCAGAATGACATTTCTAAGACAGAAGTATTAGAGAACAGAAAAGTCAGAAAAGAATGGAAGAAATGTATCCTTTATGGTAGCTTTTTTCAAAACGCTTTGTCATTGTGTCAATTTTTCAGGCAAGGCAATTTCCACACTTTAAAATACCACTAGTGCAATGAAAGATGCATTTTATTTCTCCAGTGTTTGCAGTAACAAACTTGGTAACTAACAACAGAATCAATTCTAATATATCCATATGTATTAATTAGGAAAAATGAACAATATATTAATAACAAGATTCATTATAAAAATGATTTGTGGCTTTCCTCAAATTCTTTAAAAACTTTCAACCAAACGGACTGACTAATTGAGTTCTGCCAGAGAAGATAAAATGTTCCTTCTGACCAAAACAACATAGAAAAATCCAATTAATATGGATTTCATATTAATATTAATTGAGTGTAATACCCCTGTGGTTTATCTTCATGGTCAATTCCTAATGTCTTGTTAAAGTAATTTTCAAAGGAATTATGAATTTAATTAGATTCATTATGTTGAAATCTGGTATCCTTCTCCTAACACCTTTCAAGAAAACCCATTTGTTTATTATAAGAATTTTACGCAGTACCAACACAATTCGCTTACTCTTAAATGACGGTGATAGATACCATATACAATACTCTCATCATACATCTCTATCATTTTAGTTTACCTTTGAGACTAAAATGTGAACATGCTTTTCGACCTCAAAGTGAACTTTCACTTAATATTTTATTCATACTGTGCTTTACTGAGATTTTCATCATTTTCCATTTCTGTTCTGATTTAGAAAAATAATGGATAATAAGTCAAACTAATGTTTGCCTATTAAGGATTTTTTGTCTGAAAAAGTGATACTGCAGATATGGACTGTTGATATAACATTTAGTTTTAGAAAGAAAATGCAACTATTTATTGCTAAGAGATTGAAAACTCCTAGAAGTATGTGGTTCAAATCTCATGTAAATTTGACAAGATTGCTCAATTATTGCCACTTTATTGATCTGTCCAATAGGTATAAAAAGCAGTTTAAATAGTAAATAAAAGTTTATAATATAAAAAATTAAATTAAAATGTAAGTTAACAAATGTGTATATTATTATTAGCATGTGAGATATGTTAACCCTTCTAAAGGGAGATATAATTTATATTTGATAAATATAAATGTAAATTTGATAATTTATATTTGATAAAAAGAAGCAGTTAACTTAGTAAATTGAACTTCTTCTAGACAGCCTCAGCTCTTTTAATGTGAACCAGAAACAATAAATCAAATTAGGTATGTTTAAAACACTTCATTGTCTTTTGAAACAGACTATGAAAGATGGCTTATCTTCCATTATGAATTGCAAACAATGTTCAACCAAGCAACCTCACTTCCATTTTGGACAAAGTTGAAGGCTTTAAAGGTGTGATTGGCTCCCTGATGTTGCATGAGCAGCTAACCAATG